AGATCCTTTTCCAATACTTAAGCCATTTTATTATTCATTCATTCATTTTAATTAATTATCAAATTATAAAAAATCTCTCTTTATTTTTTATTTTTTTAAATATTATAAATATTATCTTAAAATTATTAATTTAAAAAAATTATAATTATTTTAAAATAAAAATAATATTTTAATAAATAAATATTATTTTATTATCTAATTTACATTAAATTAAAAAAAAAAACCTCTAGTATTTGGAAAGTCAACCTAATTCAATACTTAACATTATAGAATTCCCAATTCTATACCGTCAGGGTTGCCAAACACTTTTGCCTTTTGGTAATATAAACAAGAAGTTTTTTTTTTTTTTTTTTTTTTGGAAAAAGGCAAGTTTTTCCATTGATCTATAAAGCATATGTACACTATACTCCCAGGCATACCCAAGGAAATATCAAAACTCTCAAAATTTTAGATTCAAAAAGGATTTTATCTTATTATATATAGAAATTTCATTGGCATATTTCCTTTGAAATAACCGTCAATTTCGTTCCTGCCAAAGCCATCTTTAATTTCCTCTGTTCAAACTTATGGCCTCTACATGCGCTCCTTAGCCATCTCCACTCAACTGTCCAAGGCTTTGGTACTCTTTGTAAATTCAAAAACGCAAGCACCATTCTCCAAACTTCTTTTGCAAAGCTACACTCAAAAAATAAGTGCTCACAGATCTCCTCTGTGCTACAACAAAGAAAACAAGTCTGATTTATTCTCATATCTCTATACACAAGTAAAGCTTTAGTTTTCAATCTGCCCTGCAAAACTAGCCAAAGGATAAAACTATGGCGAGGATATATACTCCCTGCCCAGACAATATTGTGCCATTTAACTCTTGGACGCTTCACATGCAAAAGATTATAACAACTTGAGACAGTAAACAGTCCACTGCTTGCAGGTTTCCAGACAACAAAATCCCTTACCTGAGTCGGTCTATGTTGCTTTATTAATTGAGCCAAGACCAGATGTCTTCTTACAAAACTATCTAGTATTATCCAATCTGAGCCATTCCACCCAATGTTTTCAAAACCGGACCAGTCATTGAACCGTTTTCAGGTCCGGTTCCTGATTTGATCGGTTCAACCAGTTGAACCGGTGAACCGGCCGGTTCAAACAATAAAGAAGGTTTGATGAGAGGAGCAAGCTATAGGCATGGATTTTTTTATTTGGTGTTGATAATTTTGTAATTTTGTTAAAGTTAAAGGTTAAAATGGGTATAAGAAAGGAATGGGAAGGGTGAAATTGGAAAAAATTGAAAGAAAATTGCATGAGAAATTGAACCGGTGGTTTTTCTGGTTCTACCGGTTCTACCGGTTTTTATCGGTTCTACTGGTTTTTACCGATTTTTATCGATTTTATCGGTTTTTACCAGTTTTTGATTAGTTTTGACCGATTTTGACCTCAAATGATTTTTTATGTGAACCGAACTATTTTTATCACCGGGTACCGGTCCGACCGGTTCAACCAGCCAATCCGGTCCGGTTTTAAAAACCTTGATTCCACCATTGACTAACAGTAAGCTCATGACCCCAAGTAGCAATCTCAAATTTTTGCATCACATCACAGAATCTTCCATCTCCAGTCCATCAATCATATCAATCATAGAACAAAGAGACTTGTTTGCCATCCCCTACTTGCATCCATATAGCATTTTTCAACAAGGGTCTTAATTTTAGGATCTGTCTCCTTGTCCAAGCACAGTTAGTAGGACATTGGGCTCTCCAAAAGTTTTCTCCCCTCAAGAGTACCTCTCGTGCCCATCTAACCCACAAGGACCTTTGGTTAGTACAAATAGTCCAAACCAATTTACTCAATGCAGCCTTATTCCAATACTCCAATTGCTTTACCGCCAACCCTCCTTTTCTAGGTAAACAAACCTCATCCCATGCAACAAGAGACATAGCATTATAATTCCATTTTCCAGACCAAATAAAATTCCTACAAGCTGCATCAATAGCCTTCACCACCTTTTTGGGTATTAGCAAGGCACCACTTCAAAACACTTGTAAGTGGAATAGTATAGAGTTCACCAATTGAACCCTTCCAGCATAAGAATGAAATTTAGTTGCCCACGAGCTAATTCTATTATGAACCTTATCAATGATAGGTTGGCAAGCTCCTGGAGAAAGCTTTGTAGATACCAATGGTAAACCAAGGTACTTAACTGGCAAATGATCTTCAGTAAAACCCAGTTCTTGTATTAGGCTAGCCTTTAAACTGTCACTAACCCCACCAAAGAAAACTTGGCTCTTCATGTTATTTACTTCCAGACCAGATACTAAAGAAAACTCTTTAAATAATTTCATCATCAACACTGGGGAAGTATCATCAACTTTACAAAAAAGCATAATATCATCTGCAAAAATTAAGTGGGTAAGTTTTAGAGCTTGACACTTACTATGAAACTTAAATTGCTCATTAACCTCCAATTCTTTGAGTTTCCTAGTGAGATACTCCATTGCCAGCACAAAAAGGTAAGGTGAAATTGGATCTCCCTGCCTTAGCCCTCTCTGCCTTGAAAAATAACCTTTTGGTTGCCCATTTATCATAATAAACAACCTGGCAGTAGAGAGACATAGCATAATCGAACAAATGAACTTAATTGGAAAGTTCAGGCCTCTTAATACTGCTTCAATGAAACCCCAATTGATTGAGTCATAGGCTTTGCGAAGATCTATCTTCATTAAACATCTTGCAGGACCTCTTTTCTATAATAATTCCTCACCAAATCCTAACAGATCAATAGATTAGTTGTTATAGCTCTTCCCTCCACAAATGCAACCTAGTTACAACTAATCAGTTCATCCAGCACCTCATTAATTCTTTGAGAGAGCAGCTTAGAGATAACCTTGTATATCACATTACAGCAAGCTATTGGCCTGTAATCACCTACTGTATTGGGGCAATTGGCCTTAGGAACAATTGTAATATTTGTAATCATATTCTTGTACCCTTTCATGCGCTATGAATTTTTTCAATTTAATTTTTATAATTTTAGCAATGTTAAAATTTATGTTTTTATTGTCCCTTAACAGTTACTAATAAATTTACCATATTTTTGTAAGTTTAAAAACTTCAAAGCAATTATAATGTTAAGGTATTTTCTTAAATACATTTACAAATGAATTTTACATTCAATTTGGATTTTTTGAATTTATATTGAAATTATTGTATTCTTTCGAGAACAAAACCTTCAAATTGATATTTAGCGCTATATTTCAATTGGACGATGAAGTCTGTTGATTGTGACATTTTGCCATCAAATTTGCTGCGATTTGAATGATTTCTTCTTCTTCTTCTTTTTCTTCTTTTTGAAAAGGTGAGTATCTGAACCTTTTGCTTGATTAATATTATAAATATTTACCTATAAACAGCCTCATCCACAGTTATGAGGTAAAATTCTACTTTCAAAGATAATTGAAGTAACTTATTATAATTATCTGTACTAAAATGACTAAAAAATTACTCAAATATGCATTTTAAAGTATCATTCGAGCTGTCCTTGCAGGTGCATTTCCCCCCTCCCCATGGTGGGTTCGAAACCCACCGGTCCCACCCTTGTAAACTTGCCCAAAAAAAAAGTATAACTCTTATCCATTATTGTCACTTGAGCTAACCCCAATAAGTTGTAGCAATTTGAATGTTAAATAGCAATAATGTAATTTATCAACAATTGTGGTTTAAATGAACCAAGATTCACCGTATGCTTCTTGCCACACTTAGTAAGTCTTCTGCTACATTTGTGGTATGTCAACAAGATTCATCCCCGCTGATCAAAAGAAAAAAAAAAAAAAACAAGATTCATCCCCATTCCCCAGCAATTTAGCAACTCAACTCAAATTTGAACCTTCTTTTTTCTTCCTATAGCTTTATAACAATTAACAAGACTGAAATCAAAGGACTTTTGCTAGATCATACAATAGGCAGAGAAAGTACAATGCTTATAGGATAGTATATTTAAGTTGTTTAGTAAATAATACGGTCTCCAAGTTGCCTGCCTGATCCTAAAAATGGCGCAAATTCTTTAACTATAATTTGAAAATAGAAAAATTAAAAAAACAAATTAATGAGAATTCCTAAAATATTGAATCCACGGGAAGAAAGTAATGCACGTATCTTCCTTTTAACTGCACATTTACAACTATCAATTGGCATTTCTTAACCAATTGCAGTAAATTTGTATTTTCCTGGTTCCCCTATAACCTAGAACTGAAATTCAATATGCACTGTGTGCTTCATCAAGAAAGAACCTGATCCAAGAATGTGAGTCTTGCCCCGAATTCACGTCTTATATACATATTCTTCAATCCTGCCTCTGTTACTGATCTGAGGATGATTGGAGCTTTTGCAAAGTTTTGCCAACACCTTTAAGAAGATATCTATATTGCAGGTTCATCTGTTGCTTGTCTGCTCCTCAACATAATTGGAGCCAGCACCATCCATACTGCAAGGAGACAATGTTGACCTATTAATATGTTGGTTGTAGAAGATAATCTTATGTAGTTATCCTCTAGTCTTTAAAGTACTGAAATACACATATCTGGAATTTCAGGGAAAGATCATCTTTTCTTTTACAGCTTGGCAGAGGAAATGAAATTATATCCGAAGTGAATCTAAATTACCCAATCTTTTAGTCAATTGCTATAGTGGCAGGAGGGTATTGGTTTCATCTTGTTGTTAAGTACTTACTGTAAACACAGACTGCCAACCATTCGTTCACTATCCTGACCCAAGCACTGGTCCATCCCTCATCAATTGTCCATCTGAAAAGTAACAAATAAAATCAGCTTTCCTTAGATGCTAATTTCTTCCTGTACATACATGCCAATCACCAAAAAGCAAAAATGCTTTGAAAGGCAATGTTTTCCAAAGAGCAAGCACTTCAGACTTTATATGAAAACAACCTTAAAGAATTTATCAAGTACTAGTGGATCTTAAGTTCTTTTGTAGTATTTATTTTTGGTTTATCTAGCTTAAGCATACGTTAAGGGTGGGATTATTACACATTTTAAGAGTTAATTGTCTTGAAAATGTAAAAGTTAATCTTTATTTTATAAGTCAGTGCCATGTGTTTAGTTATTACTGGTTAGTTAAAATAACCTAAGCCAACCTTTTTAGTATTTTCAAGACAATAATTGCATCCTTAAGGGCTGCAAGGCATTAGTTAGACAAACCCTTTATTTGTTTTTGGTCTGAACATTGACAAATAAACATGCAGAATTAACCTGGAAATTATGTTAACAACTATGTGACCAAGAAGGGGACATACTTTTTAATAGTATGATGAGTATTCCAGCCAATCAATAGCATTGCGAAGTACATTGCTCCAGTGGCAAAAACGAAGTGGAAGAAGCCATAACCATATGGTACATCATCTTCAGTAGGAACATCTTTTTTCCAGGACTGCAGCACCCATAATGTGCATCTTCGTTGAGAACAAATAAGAGAAATCAAATGTATTTGCAGCCAGTGGAACAAACCTGAAAGCATTGAGAATCAATGCCTGTGGAAAATGTAGCAATAACCATTGTAAGGAGGGCAACAACAAAGCTCTGAAAGCAAGACAAACCATTAAACTGTGTTAGGAACATGGACAATTTTTTATGATTAGAGATGAAAATCTCACTTTGTTTTGCTCAGATTTTTGCTGGGGGACAAGGACCTACCAAAGAGTATACCCTAAACTATATTTGCAAGATACTTAAAGAGATAACTGAGCATTAAATTTAATATTGTCAAGAGATTTTGAAAGATTTAAATAGTACTATGATGGTAAGCCAGTCTTTCCCACTTGATGCCTCTGCCTTCCTGTTGCATCTTTGCTCCGCTGGTTCACTGCAAACAATTTAATAAAGTGGAGAATCAATAGAAGAATTGACAGCAAAATTGGAGCAATAGTATTCTTGACATACTGAACTGGCAGTTTCTTAGAGGAAACTGAAGATTCCATCAAGCTTGCCTTCATTGACATACATAATAGGCAATAGAGAACAGAAACTACACATTTGAATCAACTCATTCAATTAGCCAAGTGGTAGCAATATTACAGGTTCTGAATCACAACTGGGGTAGCAATATTGCAATGAGGTAAAAAGTTTCAGTAGCTTCATTCACAACCAACCAGTGTTAAATTGTTGATATGTGCACCATCCACCACTCTATCCAGTCCATTCTAGACATATCTTTTCACATTTCTAAGAAATTTCTCTTTTGAGTTCTGATATTATAAAAAAAAAAAAAAATGAAAAATGGTTTTTGTTTGCCTTTCTCACTTACTCATACAATTGGGACTTGCAGATACTGAAAACATGGTAAAGAAAGGATGGATTTAAAAAATTAATTTGTGCTATTAAAGCTTTGAAACCATGCCTTCGAATGGCACACCAGCAAAGGAATACCACATAAAGCCCCATGAGTCCGGAAGTCAAGAAGTGAGCATTCACCTGTTTCCAGTAAGATTATAGCAACTTAATATCAAGTTACATTACAAGCATAAATTTGAAAGTAGTGAACTGAACATACTTTAGGGTGGAGGGAGATACTGGTCATGAGCTGGAGAAGTACCAAAGTCCATGAGATGAAGAAAATGTTCAGCAGGCATGATGAATCTGCTACATACCAGATGTACATCAAAATGATCCCCACAATGCATATAACATAAGCTGAAGTTGCCAATAAGATCACGTGGATGTGGCTGCAATAGAATGTTACTTTAATCAACACTATAACTCAGATAAACAGAAAAAGTATAACGAAATATCCTTCCTTTTTTTATATAAACTTTGGTTGAAAATCACAAACTTTAACTTCTTGCTTTGAACCATAGTGGTAAATATAACTATTTCAATAGGAGCAGTAAGCATTTAGCACTCATCGAGAAGATTGTGCAAATAAAAGAATATCTTTCCAAACAATTGACGTCAGACAATAGTTTTCCAAGAACCAAAACAAACAAAATAAATTATGGAACATAATAGAGTATCTTCAAATGGTAACGAAAATGAAATAAAGAACAAATTAAGATGCATTAAAAAGTTTTAATTTCAGTTACATGATTTCACACTAAAATTTGGTGTACATATTCATATTTGATGAATTATACATTATGGACATCAACATGAATGAGTCCTTATAAACATATATAACATTTCACATACAAGGGCTCATTGAGGTTTTAGAAACAGTTTCTCCTCTCAAAAAAGCATCTGAAGACCTGGGGAGATGCCATGTTGCACCATTTCTTATCTAGGAAGATTACCTAATAAGAACAGACTTAATGCTCAATCTCTCATGCAAATTATTCACTTCTTGACCAGAAAGAACATTAAACAAGTCTTAGTTCCACCATATGGAGAGCCTTACCAACTTTTGGCATTTTTATCAGAATGACAACAATCATTCAGCCATGTTATGAAATTGATTATGCTTACTAGCTGAACTAGGAGAAATACCCTGAAAAGCATATCCAAAAAGCCAAATAATAAGGTTAGCAGAACTTTTGAGATGTGGAAGGTTGTCCAACTTCCACATCATTCAATTCTAATAATATTACACATGTTTTAATAGAGAGGAATTGGTGATAGGAATAAGTGATACCCGGCACCAAAATGTGCAATACCCCCTGCCAAAAAGGAAAAGCAGAAAAAGAGGAGGGGGGAGGGGGAGGGAGAGAGGCGGAAAATTGTGTTAGAGTTAGATGTCAATTTTAGTCAAACAAGGCTTGATTAATTAAAGCAAGGAGAAAAAATAATCAAAGCCAAAAACATTTAGAGAACAAGATGCGCACCATATATATGAACTATTGGAGAAGGAACCAGAAAGGAGATAAAAGACAAAATAACCCACAGGCCAATCTTTACGGACCACCATCCAGAATGCCATGAATCTCTGCACTTATTCAACTTCGAGGTTCCAGTGGTGGAAATAAACATTATAATGTAAAATGCCTGAAATAGCATTAAGGAAAGAAACAATTGACAATAATAGTGAAATAAATAGCAAATAATATTGAATAACTAGTTTGCTGAACTAAGCTAGGACATTAGGCTTTGGAGTTGGACCTAATTCTAAGTAAATTTAATTAAACTAGCACATTATTCTTTGGGGTTACATCTAATTTCTAAGTAAATTTTTTGTTTGTATATTGACACAATAATTTTTCTTTGGCCGATTTATATTGACACATAATAAACCAGTGTTTAATGAAAGTAATTAGAACTCATCTTCTTTAGAGGTATTATTAGAAACAATAAAGTGATCAAACTTTGTTATTAATTTTTTAGAAGGAATGAAGTTCTGGCTCCTAGTGTTTCTGATCAATTGAGGGGGAAAAAGCTACCTTATATGGTCCTTCAATTTAGTATTATACACTATAATACTATATGTAAAACTGCAGAAACTCAAAATGCTATCATCCTTTGAGAAACAGAAAGTGTTACATATCTATGATTATAAGGATACAAAGCATCCCATACTGGCCCTTAGGACTCCATCTGCACCTAAACAGGCATGGCCACCTTTGCAGTTTGTCAGGTCTGCAACCACATTCCATTACATTGTTCATTAGAAATCAAGCATTCCAAGATGCATTGCCACTTTGTTACATTTTTGGATGGGCAATACTCTTCTAGGAACTCTACTAATAAGACAAATGAAAAAAGAAAGTAGCTGATAAAAGCAAATCACATTGATTGAATCTTTGCAAACTAATGCCAAAAGAAACACACAAACTTACTTTCCATATCCCGGAAGGCTTTCCTTCCATAATCTCGGACAGCCCATGCTAGCAAATTTGAAGCAAGAAACATCAATGCATATACATATCTGGCCATCCAAGGATTGGAGGCATTGCGGAATTGGCTAAACCACGAATCATCCTTTAACACCGAAAACCGCCCTTCATTACTGATGCTTCCTTCACCACCCTCCATTTTACCTCAGACCCAGCAACAGTCCACTCTTCATCACAAGACTCAAAAATCACAAAATTATCACTTCAATCAACTGTACAAGAAACATAACCATTTGGGCCATTGCGCACACATACCCCATAGTAACCCAAACATAAAAAAGGTCGAACTATATAAACACGTGCTAAAACACTACTCTAAATTAACACAAAAAACACAGTGAAGAACAGGTTTGGTGGTCGAATTAAACGTTTAATATATGCATTTGCAATTATCATTTCCCCATTTTGCTGAGATCCTTGTTGAAATTGAAAGAAACTAAATTTCTCAACGGAATAACCTTTCTGTTGAACTGATAAAAGGGTAAGCGTCGATTGTACGCCTGCAGAATAAAGCAACTGGGAACTATCATTTCTTGATCCGTGTACCTAACATGAACCGTCGGATATAAACCACTGTGTTGCAAGTCGTGTACCCCTCAACTACCAATCAGGAAACTGCTTTTTGCAGTGAATCTTTTGACATAATTTGGGTTCTTTCATACATAACTAAATCAAAGAAGCCCGTAGACTCGTAGAGTTTGAAATAAGTAAGTGTTAATTTTTTTTTTTATTATGAAAAATTATTTAAGAATAATTTTTTAATATTATTTAAATTATTAATATTTTTTATTTATTTAAAACTCATAACATTAAATGTATTAATTTATTTATGAATATATAAAAATGATATAAAAAATTATTTTTATATCATTATTTTTGTATGGAGTCGCGTAAGGATTAGATGAGTAAAGTTAGGAATCCTTACTTCCCTTGCAAGTCTAAACTAAAAATCGAGTTGAACCAGAACCAATTTGACAACTATACCCTTGGTTCTTACTGAATTTACTATTATTACAGACAGTTTATCGAAATCGGATGGAGGTTAATCTCGTCATTGAAACTAGTTCAGATATTCTCTTCTGAAAATTACTACTGTATTTACTAGGACTAATAAAGTGCAATGAATCAAATGAAAATATGGATAAAAAAAAAATTGCGACAATTTTGGGAAAAAAAAATTGACACTGGAAATGTCTAACCCTTACCCTTTAAAAAAAAAAAATCACTTTAACTCAGTTTTTTTCATTTTGGAAAAACTGAAGGAAAACAGTTTTTGTTTTGAAAAACGATCGACTCTAATTTGATCGCTTATTACAGAAGCCAAAACAATGGTTACGAACTTGAATTTGCTGGATGAATGATGATGTTTTGAATGAGTTCAAATTCATCTTTCCGTTTTTTGTTTGAATCGCAGAATCGAAACGCAGTAAACAAACAGAGCAAAAAAAGAAAAAACTGACAGAATTTTTGGATGAATCAAGGCCGAATTGGAAGCAAGAAACAACAATGCCTATGCCTTAATATTTTTCTGTGCGGTGAAAATCAGAGAAACGGAAAGCTTAGAAGAAAGGAATGTACCTGCCGCAACGGCGAAGGAGTCCGGCGCCGCCGGAGCTGGAGATCTGGAATGCGTGTCGTTTCTTGAAGGAGTGCCTACTTTTCTCCTTCACTCCATCTGAGGCAGAGAAAACAAAGAAAAAAAGAAAAAAAGAGAGAGATTTGGGGCTTTTGCTATATTGTTGGGAAGAAGTTGCTTTTGAAGCGTTTATTTTGCTCACTTCTTTTTTCCCGCCGTAACCTTTCTCTGTTCGCCCAGGTCCTTCTCTTTCAAGATTAAATTGGTACGGTATTTTTTTTTTAATGATAAAGCAAATTTGGTATTTTTAGTATAAATTTTTTTTTTATGCACATTTTTAGTATAAAATTAAATAGCAGGTATTAATGATTAAAATTGGGTTTTTATGGTTTAAATTACATTAAATTTAAGTATTTTAATTTATTATTGTATCTACCTCAAAATAACTACTACTTCTTTGCTTCTTTAAAAAAAATTAATATATTTATTTATGTTATCCTTTAAATAAAATAAAATACAAAATAAGAGAAGTTTTTTTAATAGAATGAATAATTAAAGTAAATAGATAATAATAAAATAATGATAACGAGGATGAAAATTTGAAATGAAAATTTGAAACTAGTCATTAAATTAATTAATGTATATAATATTACAAATATAAAAAAAATAATTATTAAATAATATAAAATCTACCTTTTAATATTTTAAATAAGGTAACAAAAATCATGTCATTAATCATCTATTTAATCCTAAATTTTAATCTCTTTT